ATGTACTGCTCCTACAAAGGAATTCGCGAATGCGCAGCTTTTCTGTATCCTGTGGTTTTTTTTCAACGTTTGCTTTTGTGGTACTTTGCTTCCTCAAATTCGGCACATGATTTCAGAGGTATCGATTGGACGAACCCCAATGGGGATCCCTTCCTTTCTCCTCCCCGTATGCACGAATGTAGCTCAACAACGCGGGAGAGGGGATCGACATTCCTTACAGCGGAGTAGGGGTTCGACGGTGTAGATCGTGCCAAAGAAGCGAATATTCTTGTTTCAATCAGTCATTACAAAGCATTTTGTTCAATTTGATGTAAGATTTCCTTTGAAAGCCGGGTTTCTCTCTCAGCGGCGCCTGTAGCTCGCAATTTTGTTTATCTCTTCTATATTCGCTTCTCGCAAAGAACTACGCGCATATATTTGCTAATTTCAAATGTCTATAGGAGATACTGATCATTCAAGAGTTTTGAGCGTTTTTCGTGTAGCGTGATAGTTTTATCCATATAGGCTGATTGAACACATTGTAACTACCACATTATGTGATATGCTGCCTTTATCTTGTTATTCTAACATGGATGGCTTTAAAATACCCAAAAATCAGCAGATTTGCCAATTTCTAAGTAGAGATCCCAAGGGAATGATCCCTTCCCCAGCGTTCCCCTCTTGCATAGCAGGAATGGCCGCTGGGGATCATTCCCCGGGGTAATGAACGATACGTTGCTAATAGCTACAGCCATCCGAGATCTGGTACGATTTGCAGCTACTATTTGTAGAAGTGCTGGTTTGAATTTCCGCGCGGTTCCCCTCCCTTCTCGGCAACAAAACGTCCTCCACTCATTTTCCTGCAGCGGTATCTTAAAGGCAGCGGCTTGGCAGATTGACCTACCTCAGATTTTGACACAAATGGATAGGAGGCCCTCGAAGTGAACCAAAACATCTACTCCGCGCCGAAAATGTGAACTCTGCAAGCCAGGGGGCGGCCCAATTACCGCTCCCCTTCCTCCTTTCGCTCCCCTAACACCTTGTTCGGACGAGTATTCTCCGCTAGACGGCGTGGGACCCCCCAACCGCTCTCCCGCATTGTGCATGCTATACAAAGCCAAAATTACAGGCAGCAGGGTCTTCGTGCCAGGGCCTCTCGACTCTCCTTCGAAAATTCTCGTCCGAGCTGCCTTTTGGAAATTGAAAAAAAAAACGCCCCGAAAAGGCCTTTTCACCCCTTTTAAAGCTCAGATTCGGGATCTACGGGCCAAAACATCGAGAAGGCCCAAAACATGCAAAAAGATGGAAATGCAAAATCTGCCGGGACGCTGCCTTTAAGTGGTATAGAATCCGCGATAATAGAGGCGAATGTGGACAGAATCAGCGATCACAACAGAATGTGCCATATCGGGTGTGGAAAATAATATTTTTGGCAGCCGCGTGCATTCACGGCAGACGCACAATCTGCAACGCCTAAATTACTGCCGATGACGAAATGAAGATGACTTACGGCCAAAAGATGAGAACAGAGAAGTATTCATCATAGAACAGCGAAAACAGATTTCCCCTCTCATGCATAAGGTGGTTCACTTCCCCTCCCCGCCGGGGATCCCTTCTCCGATACTGCTTACATGCATACGAAGGCTCGCTTGGGGAGGGGAGGGGAGCCCCAGCGGAGATCTTTTCAATAGTAAAACGCACATCCCCTCCCCGCGGGTACGGGCCTAGGTGTCATAGCGAATTGTACAAACGCTTTTTGATTGAGAGTTTTGTGCAGCATAGATGGGTCTCAGCAGTGATAAGCTTTTTGGGTACTTTTCCGTTATCCGGACCCATTTTTTCAAAAGGCTCTCAAATTACAAGTTTTTTAATCTAAGAATAATTTTTCATAGATGCTACGAGGACTGCCTCCTTGCCACGTGTCACGAAAAAATCGACAGGTCAGTTTTGACATGTTTCTTTCGA